CCTTTTTTGTGTTTTGGGGAAGACAGGTTCTGGCTGCCTTTCACCTGAGTCATGGGTGCTCTGGAGGGGGCAGGGTGGTATGGTGCAGAGAGACTCGTTGCTCCCTGTGTGTCCTCGGACACACTTGGGAGCCCCTTTTCACCCTCACTCAGTTGAAGGCCTGCCTGAAAGAGCTCTAGCCCTTCCCACTCACCATGCCAGGCCCTAACTCCAGCTGGAGCTGCCCACAGACAAGTTAGAGGCCTTTGTCTGCCCCTGGGCTGCAGAGCAGAGAGGTCCTGGAGAGAGGTGCTGCTGCACTGACAGTCTCGCCCTGCTTCGTATAAAGAGAAGGGTGAGAATCTGAAATTCTCTTTTAGGGTTATGTGAGGTTTGCTGCGGGTTCTTTCCCATTCCTCCTTTCTTTTTGGGTAGGCAGCTGCATACCAAGTTCCTAGAAAAGGAGGAAAACACTGTGGCAGCCCAAAAGATCATAGCCAAAGTGTGACTCACTCAGAGCCGACCTTGCTGACGCACATCCCCTCCCTCTGTCCCTCCCTGCCCTTGCCTCCTCCTGTCAGGACCAGAATGGGGGGTCTGGGACTCCCAGGGGGCTGTGCACCTCCCGCTGTCTTGGGCAGTGGTGGCAGGCAGGGGAGTGTTGCCAAGCCTTCGGAGGTGTCAGAGCTGACCATGTCGTTTCCTGTAGAGAGTCTCCAGGAGCTCCAGCAGCAGAGGAGCACAGGGCGAGTGGGGCCTGTGCTCAGGAGGCCTGCCCCCGCCCTGCAGAGACCCGGTACATGTCCCTTGAGCCCCACCTGCCTCTTGCCCTGGCAGCAGGCAGGAAAGTCTTGTTAGTGGAGTGGAGTAGAAAGCTCAGCCACGCTGGTGCGTGTACTCCTCTGCTTAACACCTCTCAGCCACTGCCTCAGAGACAGTTCCTTCCTGGGGTCTTCTCATAGGACGAGAAAAGAACATCAGCTACTCCATTTGCCAGCCTAAATGCCCTCCCTGGGATTATCTTATCTTTTTTTTTTTTTTTTTTTGAGACAGAGTCTCACAGGAACATCAAACTCTTGGAATCAAATGATTCTCTTGCCTCAGCCTCCCAAGTAGCTGAGACTACAGGCACCTACCACAACACCCAGCTATTTTTTTTCTTTTTTTAGAGACAAGGTCTCTCTGGCTCAGGGAGGTTTCCAACTCATAAGCTCAGGCAGTCCACCTGCCATGGCCTCCCAGAGTGCTAGGATTACAGGCATGAGCCACCGCCTGGCTGGGATTATTTTATCTTGTTGAATCCTAACAGTCCTGGGAGTTCAGTGCTAGGATTCCCCTCTTTTACAGAACAGGAAATTGAGATTTAACAAGAGATTCACACTGCAAAGAAGTGGCAGGCTTAGAACCCAGGAAACTGACTCCATACCCCCACATGCTTCCTTGAGCTCCTCCCAGTGTTTGGAGCCTTGGGGACCTCCAGAATGCATTTGTTGGAGGAAAAACGCATGATGCTTCTGCTCTGTGGGGACCTTTCAGACCAGAGGCCTGAGCGGTGCCATATTCAAGGCAGTGACATGGAAGGTTCAAAGCTGGAGCAGTCCACTTCCAGATGGGCATGTGATCCTTTGCTGATTCTTTGCTGAGACCCTTTGCCTGTGCTTTGGGGCTCTAACTGCCTCTCAGGCCAACCACTGGTCAGATTTCCCTAGCTACTGACAGAGCAGGCCTGTACAGGCGCTAGAGCCAACATTTCCACTTGGAATGCAGAGGACAGACTGGCCTTTGTTTTGCATCAAGCCCTCTGCCAGCAGAATTCCCCAAGATAGCTAACGGGCTCTCAGAGCCTCTTGGATGCAGCTCCTGGGGAAATCCACTGTCAGCCACCCATGTGCTGTGCCTCCGAGCCTTTCCTCTGTGAGAAGCAGCCTGAGGTCCCATGTCCAGCTTCTCCACCTAGCCAGCCAGTGAGGAAGAGCTTCCTCACTGGCCTCCCCAAAGTGGACAGGAAGCCCTCCCTGGCCTCTTAGAGGGGGCTTGCCTACCCCTCATCCCAGTGTGGTGATGGGTCCTCTCTGGGGTACTTGATTTTGTTCACATTGTGCACTTCCTAGAAAGGATCAGAAAGCTGTCCTGCCTCACACCTCTCAAAGAGGGGCGGTCTGTGGTGTTCTAGGTCAAGGCAGTGTCTGAAGTACAAACAAGGGATGAGTCAACTTTGATGGAACAGAAGGAAGAATCCATTGGGGCTGGAGCACTGCCCAGAGATACATCTGGGCACCCGGTAGCTGTCAGTCCTGAGTGCAGATTTCTACTCCCTTGCCCACTAGCCCTGTGGCCTTGGACAAGTCCCCTCACTTCCCTGTGCCTTAGCTGCTTCATCTAAAACAGGACAGTGAGAAAATCTCCTTCAAGGCTGCGGGGAGAAGTGAATGAAATCAGGCCTGCCCTGAGTGCTCAGTGAGCATCAGCTTTTAGTGCTGTCAGCTGATAATGACAAGGGTGATGCCAAAGGGGATCCCCCAAAGGGACAAAAGTGGCATCCAAGGGTGGGCTCTGGAGCTCTCAGTATCACCTGAGCTCCTGGATCGGTTGTTTCCTCCCCCTACCTGCCTGCCCAGAGCCTTCCTGAAGTATACAGAAGCTCTCCTGCCTGTGCTGTGGGCCCTCCTGGGGCGTCCAGCCCTGGTTTGGACTAAACGCCCCCGCTGTGCCTGCTGTTCCAGATGGAGAATTCCAGGAAGCATCCGGCCTACAGGCATTTGGAACCAACCAGCTCCCTGTCACGTTGTCTCATTCATGTGACTGCAGTGTGCTCTCTGTATCTGCGGGCAGCATGGCAGTGTGGCCTCAGCTGGCCACACGGCCACCTTCTCAGCATCTGTCAGGCCAGTGCCTGACCCAGCCAGGTAGTGTCAGTCTTGACAAGACAAGCCTGCTCCCCTCAGGCAGAAAAACCATGTTCTCTGGGACTGCTTCCTGCCAAGCTTTTGCAAGGGACCCCAGAGGTAGCCCCAGAACTTTCTGGATGGAGTAAAAAGGGAAAGGACAAACTACCCAGAACTCTGTCTAGCCTTGCCCAGGGAACCCTGGGATGGCAAACCAGCCTGTGGCCTCACCAACTCAGAGTGCCCTGCCCTCTGCAGTGGGCTACCCTTCTTAGTGGGCCCCAGCCCAGTATAATGGTGTCTTGGGGCCCTTGAGCTCTGAGCCTGAAGAGCACCAGTGAAGGCCAGGCCCCTGCTGCTCCCTCCTAGAAAATGGAAAATGTGTTCTCTGGCACAGTAGACCTCAAACTCCAGGGCCTGCAGCTGGCTCTGACCCCGGCACTCCTGATATAGGTAAGCAGTCTAGGTCTGGGCCTTGCATGGTAAACCCACCAGGAGGCTCTGATGCGGGTAGGGCCCCATATCTAGAAGTTGCACACTGACAGCTTGCTAAGACTGTCTCTAGGTGGGGAGCTCAGTGCCTGTCTTCCTCCTTCAGCCCCTTCAAGGCTCCTGTTGTCAGTGCCCTGTCCCCTTCAGCGTTCACAGGGGCTTGGTAAGGCTGGGGGCCTTTCTCATCTGACTGGGTAATATAGCCAGTGCTCCGCCAGAGCCATCTGTGTGCCAGGCTTTGTGTGAGAGCTTCCTCCACACCTGGGCCCCTGCAGTTGGTTCCTCAGGTAAGGAGATGGAGGTTAGAGAGGTCACACCATCTGCCTAAGCTCATGAGTAGCTGAAGCAAGGTTCAGATACAGGTTTGTCTTCTTCCGCTACCTGTACTCAAGGCCAGCTACCAAAGTCCTTGCCCCAGCAGAGGATCAGAGGATAAGAACACAGGCTGTGGGGCCAGACTGCTGCTCAGCTGCTTCCTAGTTGTGTGACTTAAACTCTCCATGCCTCAGTTTCCCATCCTGTAAAATGAGGGTAATAATGACTCCTTCAGAGGATGGTCTTACAGATTGATTTAGTGCTTGTGAAAGGCTTGGAACAGGCCCCAACACGAGGGAAGCCCATCTTCCCCACCACCTCATCTTCCTCACCCTCGCTCCGGTCTCATCGTCCTCTCAGTTCCTCAAAGTATGTGACATTCTTCCACCTCATGGCCTCCACAAGGGCCATGTCTGAAGTCCTGAGCCTTCACCATCCTGGTCCTCAGTGGGCAAGTGCTCTGTCCTCTGAACAAGCTGAACCCAATACCCCATTTAGAGAAGGGCCAGCTAACTGGTCCTGGGAAACCCCACTTCCCACTTTCCTGCCTCACGGAATTTCTTTCCTGAACAGAACAGTGAGGAAATGTGCAGAGCACGCACCATCACCGCTGGCTGCCCCCGCCCCAGCTGTGTGCATCACGTTTCCTCCGTAGGCCCCACATCACCTGCAGTAAGAAGTCAGGCTAAAGATCTCACCACACAGGCCCCTGCAGCTGCCTCGTCTCAGGCTGCTGGTTTACATGGGTGGGTCGGCCTCAGCAGTGGGGCGCCTTGCCACAGCAACCCCTGCATCCACACCAGTGTGTGCTCCCCTGCCATGAAGGAGAAGGTGGCTGAAGTTCTGTTTGTTCACAAGAGCAGGAGGTTTGTGCTGTCCACTGGTTCTACTTGCTGACAGGAGGTCATGCTAACCTGGAACTGCCCAGAAAAGATCCCAGGCCATCCTTCCAGGCCAAGGTCTCTGGCAAGCTCTGGCCTGAAGTAGGCTTTTGGGAAGGCAGAGGGTGACTAAGTTTGGGTATGCTGTTGCTCTCAGGCTGTGACAACTGTGCTGGCTCCCACCCCTGTCAGCCTCTAGGGACTGTCAGGCTGGAGAGAAGTACTAGGATGACTCAGGATCCCTCCTTTCCATCTCTGTGCTGCCTGATTGGAAGCAGACCAGGGGCATGGGCTCCTTGGAGAGACCCAGGGCCCCTAAGAGAGGAGGAGCAGTTGTCTCTGTGTGGTGCACGCAGTGGAGGACCAGCTCCCACATTGTGCCAAGCATGTGCAAACTGCACCTAGTGAGGCTCAGCAGCACCCCGTGGGATTGTGGGACTCAGTGAGACAGGGAGGTGACACGGGAGGCACGGGCCCTGCCCTCTGGTCACTTCACAGTATGGGGTAGAAGGGCTTTAAAGCCATTATCCTCTGTTGCATTATGTTTTCCTCACGTGTGAGCAGGGAGAATTGAACTGCACCTCTGGGTAACTTCCAATCTAGAATATTATGTGAGGCCATTTGGGGAAATCTTTGAACATTGTTCTAAGCCCCAATCTGTACCTACCCCACTCCCTGACTCAGCCAGGGTGACGGATGGGTTCAGGAGAGGTTCAGCTTATCATTTAGGTGACTAGGAATGACATAGATCCCTGCTGGGACAAGCTCAGCAGGTGGCCAGGAAAGGACATGGGCCTGAGTCTTCCTTCCCCCTGGATAGAGGCTGTTGCTTCACCCTCCTGTGAGAAGCGCAGCTCTGTTGAGTACTAGGGCTGTCCTGAAGGAGGTACCCTGCTTCTATCTGGTGCCCATTGCTATGGAAACTCAGGTTTGTTCTCTCTGCCTCCTGTCCCTAGGACGCATCGGATAACCATCACTAATTTCTGCCTCGGCAAGCATCTGGTGAGCGAGGGGGACCTGCTGAAGGACCAGAGGGGAAGCCCTGCCTACATCAGTCCCGACGTGCTCAGCGGTGCGTATGTGTGCTAGACAGTTAATTCATTCAACAAACCATGTCTGTGGGCAGGCCCCAAATTGGGTGCCGGGGCTTCACTGGTGTCCTAAACCGGTACTGTCCCTCTGCCATGAAATGTTTAGTCTGGTGGAGGAGGAAGACATTATGGTCACACTAATGCATGTTCAGTTACTGTCTGTGACTAGTGCTGGAAAGGAAAGGATGGGATTTCTGTGAGAGCGTATGATGGGCACTTGGAGGACTTCTTCAAAGAGGTGACAGTTGAGTTGTGAGCTTAAGGAGAACTAGGAATTCCTCAGGTGTGTGTAACTGGGCTGAGACTGAGGGTCCCGGAGGGGGCACGCATAATGGAGGAACAGCAGGCTGCTCAGAGAGTGAGCCTGGGGCAAGGCGAGGCCAGAGAGGTGGGCAGAGGCCACCAAGGCCTGGTGTTGCCCCTGCTGAGAAGTGTCATCCTTTATTTCACATGTGAAACCACCAAACAGTTCTTAGCTGTGTGCCCTGATAAGGTCTGCTTTTCTTTTTCTTGGGTTTTTTTCTTTTAGACAGTCTTACATTGTCACCCTCAGTGGCATCATATCCCGCAGCAACCTCAAACACTTGGGCTCAAGCAATTCTCTTGCCTCAGCCTCCCAAGTAGCTAGGACTACAGGCACCTGCCACAATGCCGGGCTATTTTTAGAGACTCCCAA